ATCTATGGTATAAATATGAGATTGAACAAGAAGGCTAGATGGATATAATTGGAAAAACAAGGTGTGCCGTTTATTTTGATCAGGAGGATATGTATATCTTCAATTGAAGATCTTTGTATTCTTAACTTGATGACCGAGGCAGACGAAGTGATCTATTACTGTGTTGTGTCGAAGAACTTCGGCAACATGTTGTACACCTCTATCGCCAATGTGGTTTGATTCAAAAAGGAGTGAAGTCGATGTCTGTGTGAAGGAGAATAGGTGTTTGAGATATTGATGCCTTGGGATAGAATGGGAACAATGACGTTGGGAGATACGAGTTTTTGCAAATGCTCTGTATAATGAGTGAGATATAGCAGATTTGTCTTTCTCTTCTATGAGAAAGGATCCTATGTTTGAGCAAGAAGCGATCACCGACGAACTAGATATTCTACTCACAGAATTTTGTTGCATGGCCTGGGTCAAGAGATTAACACCCTCATCGGTGATCCTATTTCAAGTCAAATCCAATTCCGTGCATTGTTTGTGCCAGAGCGCATCATCGATCACACGTTGCATATCGGCACTGGTCAGTTCTTGGTTCCAATAGCATACCTTCACTGAAACTTTCGACTGTGGTGCTTCTGCTAGGAGTGTCGACGACGTACACATCGAAGCCGAACTTTCTCTGTTACCTGGTATGTGAATGCTCCTCCTTTTCCTCCTTTTTCTTGAAATATATCCTCCTTCTCCTCTTTTTCACATTGAAATCCTCCTATTCCTCCTTTTTGTCACGTAGGTTGTGGAGTCAGTATTTTAAATAAAAAAAAGCTTTGATGATGCTGCAACTGATAAGACATCTGAAAAATTTGAGTATACTATTCCAACGAAAAAAGTGTTTTCTTGATTTTCAACTAAAATTAACTTTCATTTTGATAATTTACAATTGTCATCGTCAGAAAATGACTATTGAAATGTACAAAAAGGTCTATATACGTATAAATTTGTAATATGTAGCATCAAAAGATAATCAAATTACAATTTGTCAGAAGGAACAAAACACAACAAACGAAACAATGAGCACGATTATACAATAATTGGAATCCTTCTATAATCCTGCTCCTTGTTTTGTTTGTTGTGTTTTGTTCCCTCTAATATATTGTAATTCGATTATCTTTTTATGTTACATGTTACAAACTTATATATATATATTATATTTTTTGTTGCAGTACTGTACTGACCCATTTCAAAGAAAGTCTATTTTTAAATAATCATATTTTGGTTAAATGCCTCTTCGTAACACAAAATTTAATATTTCATGGTTGGAAAAAAAGATTCAGATGGTATTCCTGTGAAGCGATGGTTGAAGCAAGGTACAAAACCATCATCATTCATTTGTACATTATGTAAAACCGACGATTTGTACTGTGGAAATAAAGGGTGTGGGTGTGGGTGTGGGTAGGTGTGGATGTGGGTAGGTGTGGATGTGGATGTGGGTCATGAGAAGACTAACACCCATACCCACATCCACACCTACACCATTTTTCAGAGTATTATTGAGCTCAAACTTGCATAGGATTCCTTTTCTACAAGAGAGCAAAAGTCCTCCCATTTTCCTCCTTTTTTATGCCAGATGCTCCCAAAAATTTTCAGTGAAAATCCTTCCTATTCCTCCTTTTTTGGAATGTAGCGTTCACATACCAGTCGGTTACTCATCCTAAAAAAAATCAATTCCCAATGCATACCTGAAGATTAGCGCAAAATCTGAGGAAGTCTTCACACTTCATGCGCTATTTTTTAAAGGTAATCTACGATCACCGATATGAACAAAATCCGATCAGAATCGATTTCTCTCAAATTATGATTATATGAAAGTTTTCTTTATGAGAATTTCTCATCGAACAAGACAAGATGATACTCAAGTTTACTTTATCCCTAATGCCATTAACTTGAAGATGAAGAACAAATATTCTTTCTAGACTTTGCAAGATATTCTGTTAGTTGTCCAATTTAGCACTGTACAAAATTTCAAACCCAATCAACTCAAACTATCCTTGCTTACGTTCAACTAGTCGTGATCAGTAAGATGAATCTGTGTTTGCTTAACCTGTGTACAATGTTTGAGACCGAGAATGACGAAGTAATTGTTTTTCATGCGTCAAAGTAAGAAAAATATTTCATCTTTCTACATTCTGTGTTGATATAACGAAATAAAACAGAACGAAAGAAAAGAACGTTGAAATCATGATAGCAGCTTGCTGTGCGCGCAACAACCAAAACTAATCTCAACTAATAATGCACAAAGGTAAGTTCACTATGCATTTGTAAATATAAGATTGATTTGTATGAGATAGAATATACTTTGTGGAATAGTAATTTCAATGATACTAACTTTACTATTTTGTGACAAAAAAAAATCTATAGAACCAGCAATTTATAAGTGATTGAATGTAGATGTCCAACAGTGCAATACACAGAACAGATGAAGTAACAGAACAAGAAAAAAATTTCGATATAAGCATACATTTACAATTTAGTTGAAAAGTATGTGTGAGGTTCACGAAAATATTTTTACAAAAATTATTATGCATAATGTATGAATAAATTAGATTTAGTTGAGTTTCTTTTTGTATAAAATATAATTGTAAAAATCTATAAATTTATGTTGAAGACATATGATTTTTGAATTGACGCATAATTTGGGATGCATTTGCTTTACTTGGTAGTTCAACATACACTTCTCGTTTGGATGATGTGTTATCTTGAGTGATTTTGAGTCCATTAACTTGTGTACGAATGAAGTTTCCATAGATAGGTAACCGGTAAAGAGTTCCAACTAAAGTAAATATTTGATCAGGTTTAACGACATCTTTATGATTTGTTGGATCTTTTTCATTTTTGATTGTTTCTTTAAATAAATTGATTTCTTCTTTATACTCTTTCATGAGAAGTTCAAGTCCTTGAATAACTTCATTATTTTGACCACCCGAATTTGTTTTCATTTCTTCTTGTTTTATACAAAGCTTAAGATATTCTACAATATCATCATGTAATGGAAGAATGGCATTTGCATGAAGGAATTTTGCAAGTTTTTTATAAACTTCTTCTATTTTCGCTTTTTCTTCTTTTAAGTTATTAATTCTTTTTGTAATATCAGCTGCTGACGATGCTTCATTAAGATAACGAATATCGGTTTTTACTTCATATGTTATATGTTGATGATCATTCCATAAACAACCACATTTTGAACATATACCTACAAGACAAGATAAAATTTATTTAATTAACTATTTTATTGACTTTTTAAATACGAAATCTCCAATCAATTCAAATAACTTATTTCTAATCTACTGTATGTAAAGAATTATCTTTGAAATAATAACTCAAATATCAAAGGTCAAATCTTTGAGATTGAATGACAATCGACTATTATTATGGTATCAATGAAAACAAATATTGAATTGGTTAATAGAAAAAAAATTAAAAAGAGTTGACTTTAAATAGTAAAATGAGGAAAAACGATGCTTTCTGTTTAATAAATGGTATGAATTGATTTGTTGAAGTGAAAATATTTTACCTGTTTTATAGTGCATAACTTCGCAATTCGCCATCCTCTCATCATTATAGCTTTCTTGTATAACACCTATCAAATAGCATACTTCATGACATTTCGATAGTGGTTCAATTTTGGTCTCATTATTAACAATAACAGTTCGACAGCATTTTTTATTTGTACAAATTGTCGTCGGATATTTCAAATGCTCAGATTTTGCAGTCTTTTGTGGTAGACCTTTATGAGCTAATGCAGGATTTTTACTGATATCTTTTGCATGTTTTTTAGCTAGTTGAAGATTTTCTTCGATAAGTCTAGTTGTTTCAACGATTGGACGTGTTAATTTCCTCACTAATTGTTCAGCTTCATTAAGTGAAAGTGTATTACAGACAGCGTGAAGTGAACGCGTTACAATAAAAGCCATAAGATTTGAATATTGTTGAACAGTATGATTCCAACTGTTTTGATAACTTAATTTTTGTTCCTGACTCAATTGTATTCCACGTTGACGTAAAGCTAAATATCGAAATGCTTCGTTATCCAGTAGAAAAGTATTAGTATTGGTAAAAGGAACTTCAATTTTTCTTTCTTTTCTGTGTTGATCTAAAAGTGCGCGAAGTATTTTTGATGTTGAACCCGGCTTGAAAAAGGTAGAACGAGCATTTGTAAAAACAAAAATAATATTTTCTGATGCACTTGTATGTAAATGTCGAAGAAGTTCATTGATACAAAATCTAAAAAGTATTGTTAAACGTTCTTCATTTGGTTTAAGTAAAATGCAAACTCCATTTAAATGTTCATATTGGGAAATATAAGTTAAAATTTCATGAAAATTTTTTGTATCTTGTTCAAAACCTCTAGTATCTCCAATTCCTGGCGTATCGATTATTCGTAAATTCTTTTCTCCAATAGGAAAAAGAAAACTTCGACATTGTTGTGTACATGAATTACCATTTTCATTAAAATGTTCATGTTCATTACTTTCTCCAATGTAAATGGTTTTGTCTTCAAAAGTATCATCATCAGTAAAAGAGAATGATGATGGGATTACAACTTGCATTTGATCCCGGGCTGCATCTTCTAATGTATCATTGCATAAATAATTCGCTAAACCATTAATGAATGTTGTTTTTCCGATACCTGTTGGCCCCAATAATAAAATATTTATATCCGTTGATGGATCATTGTTTCTACGAGCTTGTATGGTAGATGTTTCGTATCTTTGTGCCATATTATTCACTTTCTATTTAATAAAAAAAAGCATTCGTTTAGCCGTTTGTTTATTTAATTTTGAAACATTTGTTGATCAAAAAAATATTCTTTCAGCAAAAGGAAATCTTTGCTTAAAACTAAATTTGGATTGAAAAATATGTCGTTTAAAATCGAATTACTATACAAGAAAATAACAATAAAAAAGCATTGACAAAATTTTGCTTCAGTTTTCATCATGAAAAATCTTCGACATCAATCTGAATATGGAATGGTTATTCTTATTAAGATAAAAATTTTTAAAAAATGGGTCGAATCTTCAACTGAAGATTTGATTATTTTTATCTTATCGTATCATGTGCAAAGTTCTTAAATGAAAAGATCTTCTCATTTGTAATCAAAGAATAGCAAAAATAACTAAAGAAACTAAATATTTTTTTTTCAATGAATATTTAAAATTAGTTTTAATATTCTATGTAATTGATTCATAATTGAAACAAAAAAAATCTATTAAAAACACAAAGTAAAGTCTTAGTTACATTCTTCTTTTACTTGTCGTCACTTCGTTCTTCAGCTTGAAAAGAATTCGAAACGCAATTGAAATATATTTGCTTTGCACAATAAAAGCAACCTGAAAGTATACAAGTCTGACTGATGCAAAGGAAAATAAAAAAGAACTGCTGTGACAATTGTTTTCTCCGTCGAGAATGAGTGTCATAGAAAGGAAGAAAAACAATAGACATTTCGAAATAAAATATATTGAGGTATGATAAACTTTGTTCTAATAGGGTGTGGCTGAAGCACAGATAAACACTCATACCCAATGGTACGCTCAAACCCCATACACTCATTCAACAAAAAAAAATCTGTAAAAGTATCGGTTTTTTCGTAATCGATTTATATAATCATTATATGTTCGTTTGAAATTTCTAAAAGAAACCTATCTTAATACGCTACTAAATTGTGTTAATTCTCATTTGTAATGAAAATACATCGAGATTAGATCGATTTAAAGACTTACTCAAGATCATCTCGTCAAACTGATAGTTCATCGATACGCAATTTTATTTCTAAAAATGAAAAAAAAATTCCAATCAACGAAATAAACATACTAAGCGTATGATGAAATTTTCTAAGCATCGTCACTGGATAAAAACTAATTGAAATTGTTAAATTGAAACATATTCAACGTGAGCACAAAGAATGTAAAAGTACTGTAGCGATACCTTTAGAGGAATAAAGAATATATTGTTTGTTGTTGTCATTCAACCATCTTTCAAAATTATAAAATATCAGAGAATCTTTACTATTTTCATATAACAAGTCACTCTATTGCTCTATCTATATGTTATCTGAAAAGCAATGATCAATATCCTCATATTCTCAGATTTTTGAAGAAATTCGAAACCAAATGAACTATTCACATAAACTATGGTTATTTTACTAAACGAAATACCTTCCTTTTCTAGGCAAAATATTTCTTCGCAATCATCTCATCTTTCCGTGATTGCCTTATCAAGAAAAATTTTCTTTTTAAATCAATGAATTTTATCATGTTTTCATCAACTATCATCAATAAGTTATACTCGATGGAAAGAAAAGCTACTTTTTCTGATAACCATTAAGTGGCAAATCGAGCAGAGAAGAACGTATGCATCACGAAATCAGAATTCAATAAAGAACATCGATTTTTGATGAACTCACTTACATAAACACGTGTTTGACTACAGCAAAAGCGAAGAATAATAGAGATAAGCAACAGCTTGTATCACCTGATATACAACAAAAGGAATAAAACAACATTAACATTTCGGTTCGATTGATAGGCATTCGCTACTGCTGGTGTCATGATAACAAAAGCCTATATTTATGGCAAAATTTTCATAGGACAATTGTAAAAGAGTAACAAGTACATATTAATTCAATAATAGAGCAGCAAGTGCGGAATATCTGAATAATTTATAAAATATCGAACGCACGAAAGATAGATAATCAAGTTTGATCTGTTCGACAAGAAGGTAAAAGACAACATTATTATCATTGAGTTATCTTGTAATACGAGCACAAGTAATTCGATATCATTTGATTACTATAACTCGATTCATTTCATCTTTCATTTTGATAGTCTAAATTGATTCTACAACACCAATCGAAATAAACATGTTCAACGAGCAATCAAAACTCGTCAATAATGAACTCAATGTCAGTGCTATGCGTTGCATCAGAAGAAATTTTATTATGATTGCCGTGGCATTTGTTCTTGCTTATACTTTCTACAATGCTATTATTAATTTGCAATCAAGTAGCAATACTGACCAAAATGTCGGTCTGTATGCATTGGCCATTAACGCTGCATCGTCCATTTTTTCATATCTGTTCTTAACAAATCCTCTAATATTCCTTGCCGGCTATAAGTGGACTATGTTTCTCTCACAAATCATATTTCTTGTTTTCACTGCCATTAATATATATCCGAAAGCATGGCTTCTCTATCCAAGTATAATTTAAGATATATATGAGTGATACAAATAATGATCTCCTTAGTATCGGCTCTTTGTGGTCTTGCTCGAGCTACAATGGGAACTGCTCAGTGCTCCAATGTTACAGTTTTAGACAGAGACGAAGCAGGCATCATTAGTTGTGATTGAGAGTCCAATAGCAAAAAAATATTTTGCTATCTTCTTTTCTGTACTTCAAAGCAGTAAGATGACATTTTTAGGTTGCCTTCGAAAGTTTCGTCTAATTTCAAGATCAAATTTGAGGCAATCTTATTGCCTATCATTTCTTACACCATAATTCGAGTGATTTTATTCCAAGAGATGTTGACTTATGTGGTGTTAATTATTCAGATAATGGAAATGATTCATTTCTACCTTATGACAATCCAGTATCGATTGAGATAGTGAAGATCTTGAGAAGAAAATATTTCTAGTTTTTATATACTCTATATACTATAGGTTACAAACTTGTATGCAACTTTCGTAGTTTTGGTTATGATTTCATTGATTTTTGTTGCCATCATGCTTAATCAAAAGCGACATACAAAAAGTAAATGTATTCAGAGTTTTTTCTTCTAACTGTTTTGATGATATTCCAGGACTCGATTCGGGAGGACTTTTTTACGAGTCGCTCCAATCGATCACAGCAACATTAAGACAAATGAAAAATTTCAAACAAATACTTCTTCTTCTTCTTTTACTATTTTGGGTTGGCACTTCGGAAGCTTTTATTTTTGGCGTTTTCACAAATGTAGGTTTATCGATAATACTCTATAAGATACAAAAAGATTTAGTCTTTAGAGTTTTATTACTTGTTCGATGGGTGTTGAATATGTCGGTAAGGTAAACATGTATAATGAACGTCTCTTTTAATTTATAATTCATCAAAATAGGTCTGATTATGCCTGGTTTTTGCATAATTGCTTGCATTTTTAGCTTGATTGTTGGTTATGTGGTTAAATTCGAACATCGTTTACAATGGTTTTTATTGGCCTTTTTATCACACTATGCTTTATTGATTATTATGCTTATATGGAGACCACTTGCATCAGAAATATGCATCTCATACATTATAGTCGGTGTTGATTGAATAACAAGTGCTATTTGGGGTTCTGTTATTCCAGGTAAACATATTCTATAATGAAAAATGCATCAGTGATCTGTTCGAATACACTTTTGAACCAAAATGAATATTTCTTTCCTTTTTTGCAATATGAATTCGAGATAAGATCATCAAGATTTAATTCTTTGAAAACTTTGTACTTCTACTAAAATGGACTTATGAGCATAAAATCAGATCCAATATAAAGTCATCTAGACAGATTCTTTGATGAATATGCTCAAGTATTTACTAATTTTAACTTTGTATGGATATTGCTTTCCAACAGAAGAGAATGCCGCTTTTTCAAATTTAGTCTAAAGCCAAAATACGGGTAATTTTGTGGTATTTCTCTATGGTGGTCTTGTTCATGTTCGAACATCAATTATTTTTCCAAATTATATATCTTACACTGGCAACATTCTGTTATCTTATTCTGTAGATCTGAAATATTGGCGAAAAAGTAGCAACATCGCCTTCGCCTGATATTAAGATGAATGTGAACGAAAATCAATGAAATATATACGTCTCCGACAAAATTAAACTTAGACAGAATTCGTTTCTAATTCAGCACAAAGCAAAACAATAATTTTCGTTTTGTCTTTTAAATAAATCCTAATTTTTATTTGCAACAATAGAACATGCGGAACTGTTTTTCTTTCTTAAATAAGATAAAGTACTCATTTTCACTAATTCAAACTGAAATGTTGAGTTTGGAACAGACAAAATTATTGTAAAAACTTCTCTTAGAAAAAAAAATCTATTTACAAACTTGATGTAGTATATTACGTGGTACACAATTGTATGCATTCATTTCAGATTTTCAATACTTAGTGCAATTCTTGTGGAAAACAAATAAAAGCACAGTGTAAATGATCTGTATGAAATCTTTGGAGATTTCACTTGGTGTACTTTAATATTTTATTTCATCTAACTTCTTCTGAAAACATTGTTCCTAATGATTATTTTCAACTGGAGTCCTTAGATCTATTGTTTTCAAGACAGTTGAAAAATAGGTGACAATACATATAGTTCCGTTCGAAATTATTTTATTTTCACTTCAACAATGTCATTAATAGGCTATCGAATCGGAGCAACTCTTTGAATCTACATGTCAGGGAAAATATTTTCTAGATGCGGGAATCTAAAGAAGACCCATTTTGTTAAACCATTTGATATGCTCTCCCATAATCTAGTACACAGTAAAGTCAACTTTACTAACATTCACAAACAATATGATATTCATCGACTTTTTCTTTTGTTATTACAATAGCACATCCGGAGTATGACCATTCTGCTATACTATCAGTTTGATCAAAAGTATTCAAAGACCTCTTTTCATAGTATCTTCTTTGGTAATTCGACTACCCGATTTCGTTTTACAGTACTCAGTAACTAAGATTTAACCATTAATAAAACTATTTTCATTCTAATATTCAGAACAATGCTGAATAAAATTCTACAGTTCATCAAATAAAACTAAAGAAAGCATATGAACTGTTTGCTCTGTTTATTTGTCCGCATTTTTGAAACTCTCTATACTTTATTACTAGCATGGATTTTGATAAGCCCAGGCACGCTGATATCGTTTGATATCTGGAAAAAATAGACAGTCTCAAGTAGATCATTGAGTAGGTGTTGTATATAGAGTGAACTGAAAATCACATTTAAAAACAATTTTGAAGTGTCTCAAAGACATGGAAAAGCTAGTTATTTTTTTCGCTACTTCTTGTACTGTTTTCCTATCTTTATTTTTCTTTTTTCTTCAATTACATATTTCTATGTTTGACGCTCTATAACGTCTCAGTTTTTTGTGCGGTTGTGCCGTTGTTAGTTACAAGATCGTCCTCTGTTTTTCTTCGTTGTTTCTGTCTCTTTTCTCATGTTTCCTTTGCTTTTTCTTCTTCATTTTTCCTTCTATATATAGATGTTTTTTTTTGTAGCGGATAAATATATTCGGAGATAATTATTCTGTAGTGTTCTACATTGGTCGTTACAAGAAAATGTGGACAGTAAGAGTATGTTTCTTCGCTACATTTATCACAAGAAGTTAGCAAATCCAAATTATCAGAATAATTTCGTCATTATGATTTTCTCTTAAATTTAGGAAATCCGTTTGATTAGAATGTCCATTTCATCATTGGAAATATTTTCTTTAATTTTTGCATTATGTTGATGTAAAAGTCAGGATTTTTTCTCACTTTCTATATTTTTAAGGTGCAGTTTGTAGAGTATTCAAGGAAGAACAGCGAATTTCACAATATTTTGTGGACTTCGTTATGACTGAACCGACAAACCACTGAAGTTCATGGATGTCCAAGAAAATTCATGAAAACTCAAAAACAATATGAAAAATAATCGAAGTTCCTTCTAGTCCCGTGAAACATCATAAAACCACAGGAATTCTAATAAACTTGGTAAAACTCTTAGAAACGATTTGAACGTACTTCAAAGAAGAAAACATAAAACATATGCTGTTTTCTCCTTGACAGTATTCCATAAATTTCTCAACTATTTCTGATACAATACACACCATTATTATGAAAACGACTGCATCATCGACTTTGATCCAGAGACTATCTTTTGGAACAGCTACTCATTTGATTATTTATTGAAACTTCTCGATTCTACTACACACTTTGCACTAAGATTTTTTTATTTTTACTATCCTATATGCTAACTCAAGAAACAGTTGATCTATGATCTTTTCCTTCCTCATCTGTCATTGAAACGAAGCAAAACGTATTCTTTATTTTTTGATAGTTCGCTGCGAATATGATTTGTAATTGGCAACGTCTTTGTTTTCTTCTTCTTCTCACTTTCGGATGGACATGCTCTCTGAAGCAATCCGAATATATTTCATATTTGAAGTTATTAGACGATCCCTATGAAACAGTGTTTCCTTCGTCTACAGCTACTAAAGCAGCTCCAAATTATCCGATAAACAAACGTGCATTTTCATTACAAATGACTCAAACTAACAAGTTTGGCTTACCAAAGTGTTCAAAACAACATGATGAGTGTCGACAAATTGGTATTGTTGGTGCTGGTGAGTCTTTTTTCTCATTGATAAGTGATATACAATAATTGTTCAAAATTTTCCGCACATGTAGCTCACGATTTTGTTTATACAATATATCAGCAAGCGCATGAAATACTGTGTCCTTAGAAAAACCAAGATTTTTTCCTCTAGCGTTTAGGATATTTTCGCACGCAGTCAGAATATCATAATAAAAATATTGAGCGGTGCTCTAATTATTCATTTCAAATCTCGGGAAAAATAGCACTATTTAATGTAGAAGATATTATGTTTAAGAATTCTTCAAGCTTCCATAATTATTAGAGTCTTAATATAATGGGTTTTGATGTCGAGTAGTTGCGAGTACAAAACAGGAGAAAAATGAGGCACAAGGTAAAATATTTTGCTCTGGCAAGATTTCTTCTTTAAATGACTATTAAAAGAATTAGCTTCTCGCACAATGAACACCGTCGGCTATTCATTCCATTGTGATCGAACGAAAATGTAGAGTTTCGAAAGTGGTTACTGTAGTGATGATTGCTTTCGAGAAAATATTCGGTTAAATACATTACCGAATCCCTAAAATAAAATTTCGCATCTGACTTTTTTTCTATTAGAGCGTGTATTATGTAACAACACCCAACAACTTTGTCAATATAGCTTTTGATGAAGTCAAAATGTAAAACTTACGTAAGAATGTGGCATTATTAGGACCATGAAACTCCAAATGAACTCGCTCAATTTATCATTAGTTTAAAACAAATTTTGTTTACATTTCTGAAATTCTGTTAAATGACGATAATCGAATCCATTTGGTTTCGTTGCCAAACACAAATTAGATTTCTAACTTCGAAATATAGAAAAATAACAAATTGTCTATTTTTGATGAATAGAAGAGATCTAGACAATATTTTTGGACTTGTTTAGGACACTATTTTCGATCTATTGGATTTTTTAAAGATTTAAATCAGATCTTGAAGCATCTATGAAATAGTTAAAAATAAATGAAGCTGATAACTGAATCTTTCTGATAAAGGTTAAATTATGTTTGTAGGCGTTGCTGGTTTGTATTCTGGCATACTGTTAGCGAAAGCTGGTCATACAGTAACCATTTATGAAGCAAGTAATCGAGCAGGTGGTCGCATTTTGACCTATCGCGATCCAAAAAATCCATCGATATACATGGGTGAATTTGGAGCCATGCGTTTTTCACTCGATGTTCACTCTTATTTGAATACTTTGATTCGACATCGATACAACTTAAAGACTGCAGAATTTGCTCAAAGCAATGCTAATGCTTATACATACATCAATGGGATTTTTACTACAATGCGAGAAGCTCGTGAAAACCCAGACATATTCGGATTCAACACACATCAAAGCGAACGAGGAAAGGTATGATTTTATGTTTGTATGAAAACTGTTATGACAAGTGTATTATAGACTCCTGAACAATTATGGCTGAATGCTCTTCAACCTATTTTGCAAACACTGGAACAAGGAGGATGGTTAGCGGTTAAAAAGCAATGGGATTCATATTCGATTGCATCCTATTTGAAAAGTGTCAATATGTCACGTGCTGCCATCGACTATATTAGCATTTTTAAAAATTATGAAAACTTCATTTATGTATCTATTTTGGAAGCCGTTCGTTCGACACTTGTGTCCGGTTCTGGATCGAAATCGTATGTTATTGAAGGTGGTAATGATTTATTGACACAAGCAATGATTGATGAGTGTCGAGCAATAGAGTTCAATCGATGTTCGATTATGTATTCGACACCCATCACTGAAATACAATTATATGGTTCGAATCAAGTACGATGGATGACCAAAAATGGCACAAGTAACATTTTCGATACAGTAATTGTAGCAACAACTGCAACTGCTGCTGAATTAATCAAATTCGAAAAACGAATAAATTTTGTCGACAAATATCGAGCATTGCGGCAAGTCCATTACAGTTGTTCAACAAAAATTCTTCTTTTCTTCAATATATCCTGGTGGTACACACAAGAGAAGCTTAGTGGAGGTCAATCAGTTACTGATTTAAATATTCGTAGAGTTTTTTATCTACGTAATAATCACAGTAATGGTGGAACAATTCTTGCATCATACACTGCTGGGCTAAATTCTCTTCAATGGCAATCTTTATCTGAATCAGATGCTATCGAATTAACTTTGCAACAATTGATTCAACTTCATAAATCATCATCGAACATACGCGACTATTTTCAAGGTGGTAAAGTTCAACATTGGTGCGGAGATCCATATGCACATGGAGCTTTTGCAAGATTCATTCCATTTCAAGAAACAGATCTTCTTGATCAATTGCAAGCATCCGTATCGAATATTCATTTTATTGGTGAGCATACTACATCTATTCGTGGCTCAGTTGAAGGTGCTATTGTCTCAGCACTACGTGAAGCCTTGTTTATTACAGCACAACGAATGACAATATTTGATGTGATTATCGTTGGTGGAGATCCAGTCGGATTGGCAACAGCTGTGTTTTTATCAATGAAAAAACCTAATCTTCGTATTGCCATTGTTGATAAAGGAGTTATTATGAACTCGTATAATGCATTCGATCGACAAATATTTCGACAAATGTTCAACGAAGAATATCTCACTGAATTAGCCAATATGTCATTTTCTCTTTGGCGTCAATTGGAACGATTGGCTAATCTTTCATTTGGATCGATTCTCAATACGAACGATGGATTTCTGTTATTCGGCAATTTAAATACAAATCAATCAACAGTCGCAGATAATTTGTTATCCATCAAACGAACATATGAAAATCTTCAAATACAAGGCGAATATTTGAACAATACACAATTAAAAATGCGCTATCCAATGTTTACATTTTCTCATCAATATGTAGGTATCTTCGACAATCAATCGGGTTACATCAATGTAACGATGCTTATGATTGCTCTACTTCGTATTATCGATCAAAATCCAAATATTATCATTCGAGAACAAGAAGAATTCTTATCATTAAAATTATTCAATAATTGCACACAGCTAATAACTGATCGCGGTATTTTGCATGCTTCTCGAAAAGTTCTCTTTATTCCTGGTTCATCTGTTGAAAATGTCTCACATTTGCTAAATATTGATCTCAATATAACATTATGGAAAGTTCCAATTTACTATTTTCGTCATTCTTCATCTTTTACTCAATTACCGAATTGGCTTGCATTGGACGAGCATAATTCTCAAGTACTCCTTTCAGGCTTTTCTATCGATTTAGCATCTAATTACCTTGTTATCAAACCCAGTTTTATTCAAAATAGGTCGAACTCGTTGATATATTCATCTCAACAGACAACTACAATCGATCCATTCCTTACAAAACAAGTTGTGGACTGGGTCTCACATCATCTAGGAACATGGGTCAATGTATCCGATTATTCTTTGCATAATCAAACCTATTTCGAGACACTTCCACTGGGTAATAGATTTTTACTTGATTTTGTTCCACGAACAGACAATCGAGTTTTGATACATGCTGCTGGATTAGAAATGAACTTTGCACCTGTTTGGGCTGATATGTTATCTGAAATGATCCTGTTCGATAGGAACATATCGTCAAAATATGCAAAACATCTTGATTATTTCTCAATAGCACGGTTGAATCGACTCGTCGAAGAAAATATATTGAATAAAGGATACCGTTTGGCATCATCATCTTTATTATTCTTGTGGCATTTGTTATGGATTTTGAACAATTATTGATTATCTAAATTTTCATTTCAAACCTTGCATTCGAACAAAACTTTGTAAACGAACTCTGTCAATGTTATTGTCCCTAGATTAAAACCATAGTCTTTAGAACCAGTAATAAATTTACAAGTGGGTTTGGATGCAACGGAGCTTTCCACAGCTCTCACATCTACATTCAAACCCATGTACTCCATCAAAAAGAATGGAAAACATAGTTTTTTTTGTAGATTTAGTATTTCGAGAAAAGACTATTACTTTTGGCTAAAATTTTCGGGAGATCCTAGTGACTTCACGGAGAGCGTAGAGTGCCGGCGTTGCTGTGGGTATGAGTAAGAGAAGATCTACACCGTCGCCCAGACTCCATATCCACCGACATACCTACGCCTACCCTTAGATTGTTGGCGTATACTGACTCAGTATTCTAGCAACGGCGTTATCATTCACCTAAACAAACTACAAACGAACATGGTTATTTTTAGTGATTTGTTAGACAAAAGATGGTAACTATAAATAACTCTAACTGTTCATTTATGAAAAAATCACTCACACAACGTTTAATCACACAAACTCATTTTAACTCGCAATATCATAGAGCGCTGTTATTTTCTTAAACGAAACTTATATCTCACCAAGTTAGAATCGCGTACATCTCTGATAATCAGTCTATTCTTTATTGACAGAAACTAATTACGTTATTTACATTAACTCATAAATGGTGCGAAATATTTGACGTCATCATACAATGATTAAAAATCTAAGAGAATCATTGGTTGTAGTAATGATAAAGCTAAATGTTTGTAACGTACGTCATCATCACCTACATTTATTCTTCAATGACGTTAAATGAATAATAATATCATGTCTCCTTGACTCTTCTGTTTAAAGAATACTTGTGAGAACGAGAAAAAAAAATGGTATGTATGTATATTGGTATTTCAGAGTGTAACTAAAAACTATAGTAAATTAAATATGGGCAATGGTAACAGTAGTGCGATTACAATTAATCTTGATCGAAATAATTTGCTTTATTTTTCTGATGAAACTGTATCTGGAACAATTGATTTAAATATCAGACAAGGAAAACTAAAAGCAGATGAAATATACATAATCCTGATGGGTGAAATTGGTTATACAACAATGCCAGTTTTTTCACATAGTAACTCTGGATTCTTAGCACGATCATCAGTAAAACCTAAATATCATCATATTCCATTTTATTCTGCTAAAGTTATTATTGTTCGACCTGTTAGACAAAAAAAATTAATTTTTGGTCAAGGATAATATTCATGGCCATTTGATATTCCATTAACTGATTATCTTCCACCAACTTTCGATGAACCACAATCATTTCCTCATGTTCGATATTATTTACAAGTTGTTATAGATAAACTATGGTATGAAACAATTACAAAAGTTACAAAATATTTAACAATATATCCACGTGTTAATTTATTACAATATCCTCAATATTTATTACCAACCACATTCGAAAAACAAAATATAACATTTCGAACTATAATGAGAATCCAATATCAAAAAGATATAACATTTAAAGCGACTTTTAATAAATTAGGATATGTTCCTGGTGAAATAATTCAATTTATATTAGAAATGGAAAATCCACGAAGAGTTTTAATTAAACGTATTGATCTTTCAATGGTACAAACGTGTGAAATTGGAAGAGCTGCGTATAGTTTACCTATATCTCGGACGATATTACCGAAGATTCGAAATTTAAAAGGTCAACAAATAAGACAAAAATTTTCTATAGAAATTCCTTTAGTACCAATTCCTCCATCATATCAATTTCGAGGAGGAATTCGAAAAATTGCTGTTGTTAATATTTGTTATATGTTTCAATTTACAGTTAAAGTTGAAGAAAGATGTATTTGTTATGATGTTCATATTCCGATTATATTAGGAACAGAACCAAATCCTGATTTAAGTCAACAACCAACATCTAATTCCATAAGTATTTCTTACTCTTCAGATATCGAACCAACAATGTTTAGCGCTGATGATCCACCACCTAGTTATGACTCTGTTGTGCAAAATATTAGATAAAGTTTGTTTTTATCTATATAAAGATTCATCAATTACATGTCCATTCATTTTATCAGAATTCTATCTCACTGTTAAAGATATAAAAGAGAACTAAATTAAAAATTTTATTTTAACTATATATCATTTCTTTATTTGTCGTTTGATCTCACCAACAAAACTGCCCAAAAAGTCATGTCTACTACTGATGTAATGACATGTCCCGTGTCACTAAAAATACAGGGTGGTGTGGGTATAAGTGACCAGATAACTGGCATCCAAATCCAAACCCGCACCCAAAATAGGGTCATCAAAGATGAGCACACATTTAAAGAACGACATCCATTATTAAGATTTTTTATAATTGCAAATGGTATGGTCCATAGATGGACCAAATCTCGTAATCATAATCCAACAGATTCAATCACATATGCAACAGAACCAACAATTACATTAAAAAAATGAACTAATGTATATCATTTTGCAAAATCATTAAAATTAGTATTACAAATATCATCGAGCAGAAAAGGCTTCACTAATTACTATATATCAGCTGGTGAAGCACACAATGTAACAACAAGTGAAATCCATAAATACAAAAGGAAAAAGTGGACGTCGTTTGATCAATTTAAAGATCTTCAATTAAGAATATGGAGAGTAACTTTATCAGACAATGCAACGGAATAGAAAAGCGGACTTTCCCATTGTCTAGGCTTCTACAAAGAATACATTTGCAAACATATTATTGGCATGGCTATTAGATTGAAGTTTTGTGAACCACCTTCATCAGCAAAGGATATACCTTTAAGTGAAAAAAGAAAACAAGGACGTCCACAAAAAGCAACCACAGCTCTATTAATGCAATATCTGTACAATTAACTTTTTTACTTAGATATTCATATCAGTTTACTTAACAAAAATTGTATATTTACCTAAAGATTTACAATATTTTACTTAGAAAATCAAACTTTTTTACTTAGAGTTTAAATAAAAAACTTAGCAAAAATACTTTTTTTACTTAGAATTTTTCTCAAAAAATTATTTAGCAAAAATTTAATTTTTTACTTAGCTTTTATTTAAAATTACTTAGCAGTTAAATAGTAGCCTTTGTTTTTATTCTTAGAAATTTTTGTTTTTGTTTTCTTTCATTTACTCAGATGGAATATGATCGTACTTGTTGTTAATGTTAAAACCTATTTTTTTTGTTCTTTCCTTTTTCTCGAAGAGGAATATGCCCTAGTCCATTTTGCATTAGAAAAGGAAATATATTTTTTCCTGAAGAAAAGAGATGGTAGAATAAAGTGCAGAAAATACTGATTAATTGTGTAGAAAATATTTTCTTCAAAATTAAAATAATGCCAACTTTCCTCTTTGAGAATCACTTGCACTCGAAGTAATTGATGCATTGATGATATTTGTCTGATATCGATCTCCAACCCTTAGAGTTAATTTGAATTCATTGTTAGTTGATTTGTAATTGATTGAGAGCAGATAAAAATCAATTGGAATTGGTTTTAATCGGTGTTTTAGGAATCAACTCTTGTATTGATTATAATCGATTATGACTAAATATAATCGATTCTTAGTCGATTATAATCATACACATTTAATCGATTATGGCTAATTATCATCGATTCTTAATTGGTTAAAAATGGATTAAAGGTGTATCATTATAATCGATTTTTAATCAAATCGTAATCGATTTTAATCCTATTTTTCCCCTATTTTGTACATGGGTTGGCTCTGACATTTTTTCCCATTACTTATACATTATACATTACGTGCGCAAAAGCTGTTGTTTGCACGTTGGAAGAAACCAACTAAGACTCTTCAATTGTTTTTCCTTAGTTATATAGTAATAATGACTGAAAGAATGACATATATTAAAGTACGATAAACAACTTCTTTCGTTTTTTGCCAAGAAAATAATGTTACAGCACGATGGAAGTGTATTTGATTTATTAGTGAATATTTCACCGACTTTAGATAAAATTGTATCGTCATCATCCAAACTGCTCAAAGAATTGGGAACAGCAACTAATGTTGCACGTATTGCAAGAGCATGAGAATGTGTTATGAAAACTAAAAGTATGATCATATCCAGTGTTCCCGTTGAAGAAATACGAAAAGCTACTCAATCAGAAAATTGGGTTGATGACTACATTGCAACAAACGCAACAATGATTGCCATAAATCCACATGCTGCGTGCAATGAATTATCTGATTGCTTTGCAGCACAATACCGTTCGCTCTCAATACAAATGATTGGTAATTCTGTTGTATCATTCGCTCAATCACTAAAGCTGATAAATTTTCTATGAATTCTGTATTATCTATGTATTTTAGAAATATATACTAGTGATGTCTATTTAATGAAGCTGTCAAAAAGATAAATCCAATTATCTGGTATATTAGAGTATATTTCTAAAAAAATGTGCAACCATAATATTTACTCAAGATTAGCATAATTACGAAAATATTGTATCTCTCGAATGATCTTTTCTTTCAGATGATAAAATGTAATCTTCTTCTACAAACACAAATATTCCGATCAATTAACTATATACGTGTTTGTCATAGTTATTCTTGATTTACTACGAGGGCGATGGAAGTTTTTCGACCTTGAGTTAGTTTTCATTATTTTACGAGTCAATTCTTTTCTAATTTTATTCCATTTGGTTACATTGACTGTATATAATTTAAATGATGTTGTTTTCATACGGCTCAGAAGTTGAATCATCATCGTCAGAAAAAATGTAAGCGTAATAAACATTAGATTTCATAATTACACTACTTCAATGGTGTTGGTTTTGTCTCTTCCTTCTCGAAGTATAGCGTATGATGGTGAATCATTATTTTTGCTGTTCTGAATCGAGTGAGCAATAGTTCGTCGGCAGTTGGATGATATAAAAATAGTGTAGACAGCTAAAGTAAGCGCAACTTCATTTCTTTTCTTTTTCTCTTCCATCTGTAGATAATTAAAATTCTTTTTTCAATACAGATGTTTATTTCATGCTGTAGATAAGTTTTCATAAGAATCCTGAAATGACTTTTCTAAGGAACTGTTTTTATGTGCGAATCAAAGCACATGTTTGAAAAATATTTAAAATTGGTAGCAATAAACTTCGTTTTCCTACACTCAGTAAACAAATACAAAATCTGGAGTAAATATTGCATCAGGATTGACACGTCAGAATAATAGAAAAGGATTTAATTGGTCTATACTAAGAGGTTTGGAAAAGTTTGAGTCGCACATGTCGCCATCTATATCATTGGTACATAGTTTTTTAAGCAGTGCATATTACAAAAAAAAAGTCATGATTAGTCAAACAGCGGTAATCACAGATCAACTTTCGTTCTTTCAACATCATACTTTTTGATAATTTGGCTTCGTAATATTGATAGATGGGATTGTGTTTCAATAAATAATAGTTTTGTAGCAGAAGACTTTCTAATATTCTTCGCCATCAGAAATTATGCTTGTTATTATAGAGCGTTTATGTCATGCAAATAAAATGAAAAGATCTAATTAGATCGAATCATGATCTTAAAAATCATACAAATAAATATTTAAAGTGTCATATGGACGAAAAAAAGTAAGAGCTTGAAAATTTTATTGATTTGGAATCTCATAATAAGTAAAAGAAATTGAAATGATGAGAAGTGTCCTAGCATTTGACCGTGAATGTCATCAAATTTCATTCAAAAAGCATATATAATTGTATTTCAAGTTTGTACGAATTTCATTCGATATCATCAAAAGAATGAATAAGAAAAGTAAAAAGTTGCATGCATCGCTATAGCACGAGAAAAATGTGCAAAACAGAAGAATATGCGTATTTTTAAAATATCTATTCTTTTGCTCTGCACAGTTTTTATACGTGCAACTTTTTGCTTTTGTTATTCATTCTTCTGAGGACAGCGCGTGATACTTACCTAGTATCAAAATGGAATCATAATTGTTTTTTTTTGAACAAAATCTGCAAATGTATTTTGTTTATTGTTTTTAAATGTTCAATCCACTAATTTTTATGAGTAGACACGGTGGTGAAAAGTAATTTTACCGCATAGAATGATGCAGTCTTTAACTAAAAAACCGTTGATGAGAAATAGTCTGACGAAACCTCGAAGATCAGATCGCTTTTAGATTTTATTTGACTTCTGCAGCTAATAGTAACCGATCAGATGTACGAATTTTCTAACTGCAATTAAAGACCGTATAAGAAAGTAAATGCATTAAAAAGAAAGAAGATTCTAATTATAAATTTTTCTTCTGCATCATTTATTTTCTAACAAACGTTTGAGAATATTTCAAAAGGGTAGCATAAAATGTCAGTTCGCTGAAGTCTCTTAATAATAGTCATGTCAAAAATATATGTCTCTCATTTTTTTTTATAGTTGATCATTGAATTTTTTCGTGATTGTCTAAAATCTCATATAGTATTCGATATGGCTTTACGCTTCAACGATGATAATAGTCGCTCATCATTTCCAATGTACTTTGGTCATCAAATGAAATTTGGCGATGCTGCTTCTACACCATTGCAATTGATTAAATTGCACGTCGAACAGCAAGTGAATGCAACATTTCCACTCATACATCAAGTGGCAACAACAATGACATTTAAAAATGATTATAATCGTGTATTAGAAGGAGCTTTAGAATTTACACTACCTGAAAAAGCAACAATTTGTGGATTCGGTGAGTGAATTACTTAAAGACTATACGATATCGAAAGTAAATGAAGCATAGATAGATACGATTGAACTTCAATTTTTACAATCGACGATCAATAATAATTGTCGTTTTCTATTATAGGTCTTGATGTTGATGGTGTCATCGTTGATGGTGTTGTTGTTGAAAAAGAAAAAGCTCGTATTACATTTGAAAAAGAAGTTCGAAAAGGTGTCGATCCTGGATTAGTGGAAAAAGTTCAAGGAAATATATTTCGTACAAGAGTTTATCCAATACAACCTGGAGGTATACGAATAGTACGTGTCATTTATCAAGACCAAGCACAATT